TTTTTTTTTTTTTTTTTTTTTTTTTTTTTTTTTTTTTTTTTTTTTTTTTTTTTTTTTTTTTTTTTTTTTTTTTTTTTTTTTTTTTTTTTTTTTTTAATATTCTTCCTTAGAATCCACGTCATTTTAAAAAGATGTTGACGAGTGATCCAATACATTTGAAGAAATATAAAATTTAATCCATTTTTATGAGCTCGATCGGAAGTTGACTTAACGAATGAATTGAATGTTTTTATTTTACATATTGTAAAAAAAAATAATGAAATACAAAATAAATAAAAAAAATTTATTTTTAAGATTATTTTTCCTTGAATTTTTATTAAAGCTTTTAAGAAAATTGAGAACCCAATATTTCTATCCATATCACTAATTTTTTTCGTTCATTTATATAACCCTTTTTCAAACGTGCTGTGTCAATTTGCTAACACCGACAAATTGATGCACTAAAAAAAACATAATAATAATAATAATAATAATAATAATAATAATAATAATAATAATAATAATGAATGTGAAGATTGAGAAGTGGTTGGGAATGGAAAAGGGCAAATTTGAAACCCCAACCAAACATATGCTTATGGTTTGAGTGGGAAGCAAAATGTCACTCTCTTTTAAAATTTTGGGCCAATTATCCAAATTACAAGTCATATTGTTGACTTGTAAATTGCAAAAAAGTACCACTAATATATATATTAAATTCACTTTCTTGCTTTTTTTATTTATTTATTTATAAACCTTATAATTCATATAAGCTACCCGAACCACAACTCTTAATTTAATTACAATAATATAATCAAAATACAATGTTTTGATGCAGGCCACTGGAGTAATATTAGATTGAGACAAATTTTAAATGTTAGATATGATCTTAAAATATCAAAGGTCAAGTCGTACTAAATCGAGACAATGGTAAATACTAGATAAAATCTCAAAATAAAAAAGATCAAGATCGACCAATAAGATGATAGGAGATAAAGCTCATCGTTCAAGAGAGAAACTATTTCATCTCTTTAAAAATCAAAATGATAATTAAATTGCCAACTCAAGAATAATTTGCTATGCCACCAACTTTATTGAAATCATACGCATGCCATTTATTAAGAAATATTGAATGAAGTTACAAATATTAGATCACCGTCCAATTCACATTTTTATATGGAAATATCTTCCATCATTCCCGAGTGATTTTTTTAAAAGGTAATTAGCTAATTCATATAAAAAAACGACAGAAAGGTTCCAACCTCCAATCATGTTTAAAAGGGAATAATAAAAAAAGAATCAAGGAGTAAATTAAGAGTTTATACTTAAAAGAGGAATGAGTTTGATGAGGGTTGCAGAAAGGCCCCCTTTTACAAAAATAATTTCAATTCAGACCACATTTCTGCTCCCCTCAGCACATCTGAATCTGATTAAGATTGTTCCAATTACCCTAGGGAAATCACCAGAAGATCGATCCACATTTTTCCAGCACACAGATCAGATCAAGAAATTTAAGCTTTAGAATTCAATAATGGAAGATATCAGCAGCGGCCATGATTGGCTGGTTGACATACTGGAAATTCATTGGGCTCATGAAGCTATCGGCGGCCACATTTGTCTGAATCTGAAATGCTTCCTCCTCTGTTTCTCCAAATCCGCCATTGCTGCCGCCGGTGTTGATGAAATTAGCGATCTCCTCGAGTGATTGCAATCTCTGCGTCAGTTCGGCCATTTGAGCTCTCAGAACCGAGTTCTCGGCATCCACGTTCGTATAAAGCTGCGAAGTAACGTTGATATTGGAAAGAATCTGAGCGTTATCCTTCCTTAATTGAGCCACCTGCGCCATCAATTCGTCCAGATGCTGTTGCTTCCTCATCCGAGATCGTCTCGCCGATTCGCGATTCGATTGCATTCTTTTCCGTTTCCTCAGATCCATAAGAACCTGCAAATCCTCTTCGGAGCCTGAGTTTTGAAGCCTAGTGGAACCAGAGGAATTTCCACTTGCAGAAGCCATAGAGATGGAGATGATAACAACTAAATTTACAGCAGAGCACAATACAAAGATTATCGATTACAGATGATCTAATCTACCACAGAAAGCGAAAACCTAAACCGGAACGACGATGATAACAACACAAAGAAATTAAGTATCTCAAATCGGCAATCGATCTGGTGTAATCGCGCTAATCTTAGGGTGAGGAATGAAGGAAGTTCATGAGAATACGTAGAACCAGTACAAGAAGACTACAGAGAAAGATTGAACAAGATGCGTACGGCGGCGGAGAGAAGAATTTATCATAAAACCAGAACGGAGAATTTCACTGAGAATCGCAGACATGAATCTGAAACATCAAGAACATCAAGAGATTGAGCATTTACAAAGGATGGGGATGAAATTCCGACAACGGCGGAAATCCGGCGATTGTGGCGGCGAGAGAATGAGCGGCGAAGAGAAAAGGAGGAGGTTGAGTAAGGTAGGAAAAGGATGAATTTATAGAAGAGAAAATAATGGAAAATGCCAGAAAATTTAGGGGGAAAATAATAAAAATTGGTGAATGAAAAATTTTAAAAAAAAAAAATAATAAAAAAAGTAAGGAAGAAAAAGGGCGTAGGAATCTCCTCCAACTCAATTGGGTTCGGCGGGACACACCAAATATATTTTATTTTCTTTTATTTTTTTAAATTAAAAATCCTATATTTAATAACCCTCCAATTTTTATCTGGTTCGCATATGAGCCACAAATTTTATTTTCTAAATGTATATATATCTATTTTTATATATAATAATTTATTAATCCTAAGACAAAATTTCAATTTAATATTTAAATAATAAAATTTTAATTTTAAAAAAATTGTAAAAATTAGAAGTCAAAATAAAGAAATCCTTAGATTGACTAGTGTATATCATTTGCCTATCGAAAATATATAAATACGCTAAAGAAAAGTGCGGAAATATTCATTATACTAACCTCAATCGGCAAATCACTCGAGAGCCCGAGAGGGAGAGCGGTGAACTTTATTTATACACCGCGAGCTCACTCTTCATTTTATCTGCTCGTTAGTTACAACATTGTGACCATGTAACCGCCCAATCGCACCACCCAATCACGTCGCTAGCAAATATTTTCTTGTTTAGGATTTCCCTTAAGATTTTAGAACGTGTATTTTAAGAAGAGTTTTCAGATCCTTATAAGAAATACTTCGTTCTCATCTCTAATTGATGTGAGATCTCATAGACCACTTCCAAAAGCATCACACCACTACTTAAAATGTCTAAAATGATTTTTTTCAATGTACATGGAATAATGTGCACGTGTCACACCTATTACACCACCTTGTAATTAGTAATGGTCACATTTTAATTAATGGACCCGCGATTGAGACTATAGACCCTACAATCTTATCCATTTTGGATCCCATATACTCGATTATAAATGTTTATCATTTTAACATTTTTAAGAATTATTCTAACCTCAACTAAATGAATAAATCCTAAAAAAAAAAAAAAATTGAATCTCATATAATTATCCAATATATTTTTATTCATAAAAATTATAAACATGAAAAAAAAATACGTGTCGAGAACCACCTGTCCATCTTTCATTTTCAACTATTTAAAATTTTTAATTGATTAAACAACCTTTAAAAGAGAAGACACACCAGCTAACTAAATATATTTGACAAGAGACGAGACGTATACGTCTTGAAAATATGCCTTAAAATATTGATAGATTATAGTGAATGATTAATATTTTTTAAATCCAAATAATGCTTATAAATCAAATATATATTTATTTATTTTAATGTTTCTAGAAATACAACAATTTTTTCAATACGATAAATTATATATATATATATATATATATATATATAATTTTTATTAATTATCGTTATATTATTTAGTGAAAAATAATAATAATATTGGAAAAGAAAAATGATTTTGTGGGGGCGGAGAATCTTACTGTTTATCGCCACAAATTTATAATTACGCGTTTGGACTCATGGATTCAAACAAAACTACTTCCTCACGCCCATTTTTTACCCACTTGGATAATAAATTAATTAAAAAAAAAAAAAAAACTTATTTTAATTATTAAAATAATACCACCGTGATAAATGACAGAATATGAACCATATAAAAAATTAGATTAGGAACAACCTAAGATTTAATTTAATTTAATTTAATTTAATTAATACTTAACTAATTCAAACATATTACCCAAATATTTATTTTTTTTATTTGTGTTAATTTTTTTTGTTAGACAATTTTCTTTTTAATTTAAATCATAAATACCTAAGTTAATTTATATTTGTTTTATATATGGTCAATATAAATGTAATTTTTTTACTAATAATACAAAAAAAAAAAAAAAAAAAAAAAAAAA